TTGCAAAATCGAATATATATATATCCCCCGGCCCCCAAGGACGCAGCCACGTTAGTCTACCGCTGGAAAAGCAACGAGGACCGCTATGACATCGTTGAGACTAATCGGTTTTATTTGGCAGCTCTCGTGGACGGCTGCTTAGTGTAGTCTCAGCAAACAAGCGTTCATACACTGGTGGGGAGGACAGGAGATGAAATGTGATGGGAATGCACGAGGCTCATCATTTTGATGGCCAGCCCAATAACTTAAGTGGCCTTGCCGGCTGCTGATGGACCATCAACTTAACAACTCTTTTTGCAGGACTAGTACTGTAATGAAAGGAAATTCTGGAGGCCACTCATTCGTAAGGTTGCCTTAGGTCAGAGTCTACTTTATGGCACATAACATAACTCCCTCTTCCTTCATCATAGACCGCGTAGTTCCTTCCATCATTTTATGTCACACTTGCTGGAAATCTGAGGTGCTAATCACAGACTATATAAGTAATGTGAGGTTGTTTCTTTTTTAAAAAAATGCTGCTGTGCAAAGTTCAACAGTTGCTATTTTAATTCCAAATGTTTAATTTAGGACATGTTTATAAACCTGGATTCATTTCATTTTAGATTTTCATTTAAATGAGGTGAATACATTTTTGATCTTTCAGTGTTCTTCAGCATTATTTATTTATTTTATTTACAAGATTTTTAGCCATGCCATTACCAATGGCCTCTGAGTGGCATATAACAATATTAAAACTTTAGAAAAACATTAAAACCATTAAACATACCCAATATTATAATATTACCCTATATTAAAACAGTCAATTTCTCTATAATAAATCCTGCTGCTCATACGGCCAGCTAAAGGATGCTATTTAATTAAAATGCTGGCTGAACAGAAAGGTCTTTGCCTGGCACCAAAAAGCCAAAAGTGTCGGAGCCAGGCAGATCTCTATAGGGAGGGTGTTCCAAAGTGGGGGGAGGCAACCAAAAACGCCCTATTTTGACATGCCATCCCCCTCACCTCTTTCAGGGATGGCACCTTCAGAAGGGCCTCCTGGCCTGATCTTAGAGTACAGGCAGGCTTGTATAGAAGAAGGTGGTCCTTTAGATCAGAGGTCCCCAACCCCCAGTCCGTGGCCTGGTGCTGCTCCGTGGCCTGAGCCAGACTGGGCTGCAGAGAGAGACCTCCCCCATGCCCCCACACACACTGCCCCACTACAGCCTGTTTGCACTTGCGTGCGAGCGCACGTGCCCCCGCCCCCGCATGTGCACTGCACCACCCTTTGTGCATGCTCACCCGCAAACAGTACACTATATGCTGTGGGAACTGAAGAGCTACTTTATATGTGTTTAAGGACATGACTAAACAAGCTAAATAAGAGTACTATTTTAACAAAATGTTGAAATAATGTAGAATGTGTGCTTGTAAATTTGTTCAGTATTGGTTTTAACACAATTCTTTATCAGAAGAAGGTGGTCCTTTAGGTCAGAGGTCCCCAACCCCCAGTCCGTGGCCCGGTGCTGGTCCGTGGCCTGAGCCAGACTGGGCTGCAGAGAGAGACCTTCCCCCATGCCCCCGCACACACTGCCCCACTACAGTCTGTTTGCACCTGCGTGCGAGTGCACGTGCCCACGCCCCTGCATGTGCACTGCACCACCCTTTGTGCATGCTCACAAGTGCGCACCCGCAAACAGTACACTGTCCTGCGCACCAGCTGGTCCGTGGGGCTAAAAAGGTTGGGAACTCTTGCTTTAGGTCTTGACATATAGGGCTTTATATGTCAAAGTAAGCACTTTTAGAAACCTTAGATAATTTTCTCCCTGGCTTAGTTTTATATATATAGCTCTTCAATTCCCACAGCATATAGGACTATATGCTGTGGGAACTGAAGAGCTACTTTATATGTGTTTAAGGACATGACTGATGTTTTTCCTTTAAACAGCAAAGTGCCAACAGTAATTAAGTAGTTTAAAACTTTTTGGAAAGTCCTTTTCATTTCAAATTGTTTTGATGTTTCTTAAACAAACTTAGCTTCTTTCTGTGTAGTTTTTTGGATTTTGGCCTATAACTCTAGGCAAAACGTTGACATTACAGATTGTCAGCATTTGACTAGTAGTAAGCTAAACAAGAGTACTATTTTAACAAAATGTTGAAATAATGTAGAATGTGTGCTTGTAAATTTGTTCAGTATTGGTTTTAACACAATTCTTTATCACTTTCTACTTCAATTCTATTTACCCAGAGAGTTGGGATGGTTACCGCAAACAGTACACTATATGCTGTGGGAACTGAAGAGCTACTTTATATGTGTTTAAGGACATGACTAAACAAGCTAAATAAGAGTACTATTTTAACAAAATGTTGAAATAATGTAGAATGTGTGCTTGTAAATTTGTTCAGTATTGGTTTTAACACAATTCTTTATCACTTTCTACTTCAATTCTATTTACCCAGAGAGTTGGGATGGTTAGCATTTTTATTTATTTAAAATATTTCTATCCTACTTTTCTCTCCAAAAGGAGCCAAGGTGGCTTACATCATTGAAACAGTATGTATATAAATATTGAAACCTTAGATAATTTTCTCCCTGGCTTAGTTTTATATATATAGCTCTTCAATTCCCACAGCATATAGGACTATATGCTGTGGGAACTGAAGAGCTACTTTATATGTGTTTAAGGACATGACTGATGTTTTTCCTTTAAACAGCAAAGTGCCAACAGTAATTAAGTAGTTTAAAACTTTTTGGAAAGTCCTTTTCATTTCAAATTGTTTTGATGTTTTTTTTTTAAAAACTTAGCTTCTTTCTGTGTAGTTTTTTGGATTTTGGCCTATAACTCTAGGCAAAACGTTGACATTACAGATTGTCAGCATTTGACTAGTAGTAAGCTAAACAAGAGTACTATTTTAACAAAATGTTGAAATAATGTAGAATGTGTGCTTGTAAATTTGTTCAGTATTGGTTTTAACACAATTCTTTATCACTTTCTACTTCAATTCTATTTACCCAGAGAGTTGGGATGGTTAGCATTTTTATTTATTTAAAATATTTCTATCCTACTTTTCTCTCCAAAAGGAGCCAAGGTGGCTTACATCATTGAAACAGTATGTATATAAATATTAAAAAAGAATTCAACAAGTATCACATAAAAATAGTAAGATCAGTATCAAACCACTTTTGAAACGGAGAACAATTCATTTAAAACCCTTCTCAGACACATTAAACATGTTAGCTTGTGTTTAAGTAGAAATGCTTTGACGTTTGTCCTGTCAGTGGCACAGAAGTAAAATTTAAAAGGCAGTTGAAATATTGTATAATAACATTAACAATCAAAATAAAGTAACTGCCAAAAGAGTGCAGATTTTTATATCTTAGAGTACAGCTTGTAGAATTCCCCAGGGAGATTGGCTGCCCAAGGAGTAATGGAAATTGTCGTCCAAAGGCAGGAATGCGCACATCTCCAGTAATTGCAACATCTCTAAATACTGAAGAGCAGTGGGTCCCCAGATGTTCTTGGACTAAATCCTCCAGAAGTCTTCACTACTAGCTTTTCAGGCCAGGGTTTCTGGGAGATGCAGTCCAAAAACATATGGGGCCCAAGGTTGGGAATCACTGGTCTAGAGACTACAGCAGTCAGCAAAACAATTTATCCAACTGCAATGTCATAACCTAGACATCCTTAGCAACTGCAGAGGGAGGATACTGCAAAATACAGTCAGCATATGGTGTTTTAGAGGTTGGGCTGCATATCCCTTATTCCTCATTCTTGGCTATGATAGCTAGAACCGATCAGAGATATAACTGAACAACATTTGAAGACCACACATTCTTCAGGCTGCTACATTGTGAAACAGACACTATCTTTTTTCATTTCATTTGTAAACCAAAGTGTTTGAAAAAGTCTCATACCTGTGAGGTAACTTGCATTGCTTTCTCTATTTATCTTGACTGTATCTGTGAGACCTTTAAAACCTGCAGTTTCATTTAAAGCACAGTATTATTTTAGATCAGTTGGGAAAACTTGTGCTTTTAAAATAAGCCGTGTACTGTAACTTATACTAGAGTTGTGAGTCTTTATATGAACCCAAGCACAGAGAGGCCTATACTGCACACCTACATTGCACATCTAACACTAATTATTTTGTTGGGAGAAACACAAGTAACTTGACACTTTTTAATACGTAGGCCTCAAAGAAGTGTAGAAGTTTCCTTTAACTTGACAGAACTTGTCAAAATATCGGTCATTACTTAAAAATTAACCAATAGATGAATAGTATCTTAGTAACCAATAATCCTTTTAACATGCTAATATTAGGTAAAGGTTCCCCTTGACACTTAGTCCAGTTGTGTCTGATTCTAGGGGGCGATGCTCATCCCCGTTTCCAAGCCATAGAGCTAGTGTTTGTCCGAAGACAGTTTCTGTGGTCACATGGCCAGTGCGACTTAGACACGGAACGCTGTTACCTTCCCACCATGGTGGTACCTATTTATCAAGTTGCATTTACATGCTTTTGAGCTAGGTTGGCAGGAGCTGGGACAAGTGATGGGAGCTCACTCTGTCACGTGGATTCAATCTTACAACTGCTGGTCTTCTGACCTTGCAGCACAGAGGCTTCTGCGGTTTAACCCACAGCACCACCACATCCCTAGGTAATGCTAACATTACTTA